TGTACAGGCATCAGTCTGCAACCTGCTATCCAAAGGCAGGCAGCACCCAATACTCACCACTTCCAGCCTCCACACACAAGGATGAAGTTACATGTCACAGCTTGTGGTCAATCTCCCTCCCACATCCCGCCACCTGCAGGGATGAGACAATACATCTGAACCTGCACTACTCATTCATCTGGGAAACAAATTAAAATTAGAAAGCAAACGGTTTCCTGCTGGGTTAGTGCATTGAATTGGCTCCCCACATAGTCAGAGGAGTATCACACCCAGTGCCGAGGTGGAGCAGGACCATACGGCCCGCAGCAAGGGCAGAAGAGCCAGTCTCCTTTCAACAGTGACTAGTTCCTGGGTTTACTCGGCCACTCATGTGCAACTCCAAGGTGAGTGCTTAACTGTGAAGTGAAATTGCTCTACATCAAGGGCTCTTGTCTGAACACTAGGTGACTTGAACATGCTGTGCAAGGTCTGTGGCAGAGACGTGAATAGGGCCCACTCCCAAAACTGTGATGTTTGCTGCGACTGAAAAAACACATCCTTCTTCCTATAGCCTCTGAATGACACTGAGGAGTGGAAATGTTTCATCTGAAAATTGCTGTGGCTCTCTGACTGTTGCAATCGTTCAAACTTATAAAGCAGACTTCCTGCAGTTTTCACCCTTTTCCCTCCATTTTAGCACAGAATAACCTTTTTAATCTGAAAAAAGAGAAATCTGATTTATTTTGTTGTATTCTACTGATTACTAAACTGGTTGTAAATCAGCAGGACGTCACTAGAAACTAAGATAGCTCCAGGCCCTAGTGACCTGGTGGGAAATGAACTTTAAGAGACATCCTGTTGCCCTCAGTGACACCTAATTTACAGCTACCTTTGACGCAGTGCACAGACCAGGTGCCTCCTTTCAGCGCTAGTTAACTCTAGATCATAACTGCAGCACACCTCATGTCACAATCAATGACTGAGTTTCATCCACTTTGGAAAAACAGTTCTGTTTCTCAGGCACACACAGCACTGCCAGGACCAGTGCAAGACCTGTTCATCCATGGTAACACCAAATTCAAACCCCGATCAGCTCTCATACTGGAGACTGCCCCTCTCCATATGTTTATACTGTAAAACATAAGAGATATTCAGTGTATTTCCCAAAGATATCCAGGTTCTGTGGTCTGTGACTACACAGTCTGCCCAGCTCTTACTGCTTTTGAATCCGTTAGCCAATCCAACCAACTGTGACAGCAGGATCATGGTCCCACACAGTCTGGGAAAGCTGCTGAGTGGCTGGAGAAGGGAGACTTGCATCAGCTGCCTTGACCGAGGGAAAGGCTACAGCAGGCACAAAGAGTTATCAGTTTGGCTGGGCTTGCCAGCCAGTGCTCTGGAACTGGCTGCAGCTTGTGCTGCCTCTTGCCCAGATGGGGGAACAGTGTGGGGCAGGAAGGACAGAAGAAGAGTCAGGCAGAAGCAGCCCAGGGCCCATGAAGATGTTCAGTGCTCTGGAAGAGGCAGAGGCACAAGAATCAGACTGCCCTTCCTGACACAACCTGTTTCTTTCTTCATAACCTAGTAATTTTGCCAGAGGAGTACCCTTACGTGTGGCAAGTTCACACCTTATTTTGATGTCACTGAAACGCACAAGGAGATACCTATGAAGAAGAATCAGAAGATAGAGTCATGACAAGCTAACAAGCAACAGAGCTTCAAGAAACATTCAAGAGAGAGGTAGGCAGCCAGTAGGCTGAACAAGACTAAAGCCGTCCCTTGGATTTGGTCAAAAATGTTGGAGACCTTTCCATTTCCTTTTCTTACCCAGCCTTGTGCCCCTATATCTGTAACGGAGGTGTCAAGAGGTGCTTGAGAGGCACCAGAAGAGGGCAACATCAGTGTTCCCACCCTGAAGACTGGCAGGAGGAGAGCCTGGAGCTGCCTTACCAGCTCTTCCTGTCCTTGGCCTCACCTGCTCTCGAAGGGAAGCAACAACATTCAAAACACTCTCTCGCCCTCTCTTAAAACAGGGAGGTGACAAGCTACCCTCTGTTGGAAATAGGCAAACCTGCTCCATTGCCTGCAAGGCACCACCAGGGTCTCTCTTCACATGGTACCCTAGGTTGCCATTACATCCTTGTGAATCACCTCCCGCCTTAGGAAGGCCAAACAGCCCTGCTAAGCCAACCTCTGCTCTGCTTCTGTGATCTGCTGGGGACAAACGAGGCGCTCACGCGCAGGGCTGCAAGGGCAGCCACGATGCCAGCATGGTTTGCCCCTTCTGAAAGGGGAGATACCCTGGCGTCCTCCTGCACAGTCTTCCAGGCTGCAGGGCCTGTTACGGGTCTTTCTCTTGGTGATGTTCTGGCTGCATTTTCTCTCCAGGCATACTCTCATGTCTTCCCTTTCCGGGAGCTATTTCCACCTTCTTTTGTTTCCCAAAGCCCCTCCTCATGTTCATTACCATCTATTTCATGCTTTTGCAAACTCTGGAGCCGGTCACTTTTTATCAGCAAGGGCATTTGTCCTGGAAAAAAAACATGCATCTTTACTGGTGCAGTTCTGTCTGCACTGAATGTACATCTGTCTTGAAAATCTTTGTTAGCTCAAGGAAATTACATCAAGTGGCAAGCAAATTAACTCCACCTTCTAATCCACTAATTGTGCAAGGCTAATTACAGACAGAACACTTGAAGCCATTCCTGGGGCTGGCTATTGGGGACTAGTGTGAGACTCCAATAGATGAGTGGGACGTTTTCATTTGACGAAGCACTTTGAGTCATGAACAATGGCGGCAGAGCAAAGTCTGCTTGCAAAAAATTGGAGGACTCTCACACCTTACCCGCATGAAGTGACTAAGGTCATTTAATAGCTTTTCTGCACGTGATTCTTCAGGCTTTCCTCATGCATAGCCCTCTTCGTCCAAACACAGCGGTAACAGGTCAGTATCTCATAATCCCTGGGATTGACTGAGCCTTCAAGTACAAAAAAAAGATCAGTACAAGTCCCTGACCCTGGCAGGATCAGCGCAACTGCTCTCCCCACGTCAGATGTGGAGCTTAGCCCAAGCTGGCTGCAGTTCCCTGAAGGTTTATACATTCACTAGTGTAATTCTCACAACTTCTTGGAAAATGTCAGCTACAGGGCGTGTAAGGAGTGCCTAACACGAAAACACATTCTTCTGTCTGAAAGGACTATGATATTTTTAGACAGAAATGATGTACCTAGAAGGTAGTGCAGTGCTTACGTGTCCTTCTGCAACACAGTATGGAAGCTCTGATATAAAACAACATGCATGAAGGGGGCAAGAATTAGAAAGACACAGAAAACAAGGTATTTCCTTTTACATGACATACTGTACTGAGCACTGACATGCACATAGCAGGGACAGGAAAGAGTTACCGTTTGTTTCATTAAAGGTTAACTCAAACTAAACTTTCAGTTTGAAATTTCGGAGTCAGCAACTTAGAGATTTAAACTGCTTAACCTTTGCCCATTTGTTTAATAATCCTTTCTGGATGATTAATGGAAAGCTGTAAATAGCATTTGCTTAAGGATATCCATCTCCTTTGCTGGGAAGAAGAAGCTCCAAAACCGGCTTTGTAAGAGGAAAGAACAAGAGAGAATCTTTGAGGTTTGAACAAGCAAACAGACGACACAGACTCCTACTATTTTACAACCTAGCTATCATCAGTCAGAAAGAAAGAACCAGTCCCTACTGTTGACACTAGAGCAGCATTCCTCCCCCCAGATAACCAATGGACGGACCTTTGTCCCCACCCCACCTCCCCAAGCAGCATGATGAGCCCCCAGCAACACACACCTACAAGTGGGGTTACCCCCCGGGCAGTAGCATTCCCACTACTAATAACATGAACTTGTTTTGTTCCGGAAGGCGTCCAAGGTGTCCGCATCACCCAGGCAAGTGGCTGGCAGCAATTCGCAGGTTAGAAGTTGCCCTTCCAGGAAAGGGCCTCTTCCTCCTCCTCACAGAGGCATATCTCCCCATGGTTGGTAGTGCTGGCAGCATATGAGCCCACAAGATGCCCCTTTACTAGGGAAAATGGGACAACTTCTCCTAAAACTATCCAGAGAGTAGCCAAGACCGTGCAAGTCAAATCCAGGAGCTCTACTGAACTCCCGCTCCTTCTGTTGCTCTTCCTCAATTGCCTCAATAGTCAGGGCAGACCCCTGCAAACTTGCACCAATGGCTCCTACAAATGCTCAAACTGCAACCAAATCTTTCCTCGGTGAGCAGGGCATTCTTCTGGATCTCCATCACCTCTCACATCACCACGATGATGTCCTATGCCATTTCCATGGAGAACATATAGACTGGGTGAATGACATTCTAATTGCTGTTCCCATCAATGCCATGGGTTTTCCTTTGATTTCTTTCAAACATATTACTAATCTGCCTTGCTCCTACTTTGCAAGGAAGGTGTAGTGAGACCACAGCCCACCTGGAGAAAAGACAGGAGCTGCAAACCCAGGAGCAGCTCCAGAGAGCGTGACTGTGCTACACACAAACACACAAGGCTGGAATCCAGCCCTGTATATGGTGAGAGGCAGAAGCCATATTCAGGCTGCCAAGCCTTTCCAAAGCATGAACACAAACCCTCCGGAATGTTACCCAACCAGCACCTTCAGCTTTTTTGAGAAGGAGAGCAGAGACAGTTGATCCTGCAGAACAAGATGCATCTTGACTCTCTGGGAGGTAACTGCTCAGACTGCGTGTCAGCTCAGAGCCTGAACCCACAGGCCTGACATCCTCAAAGTGTGGGTGCCAGCGACAATTCCTAGAGTTTGCTCCTGTTCAGGCACAAAATAACTTTGCACACATAACCCCCAGGTAGAACATAAGGCACAATTTTATTTTCCCTCATCCCTCTTTCTGCGTTCACACCCATTGAAATGCCATTATCTGGCAACAAGGGCTATGCAGTGATTGTGGGGATTTTCACAGCTTGTGCTTATACAGTGGCCAGCAGGAGGGCCCTGGGTTCCCAGGGGCTCACCTGGCTGCTCAGAGAGCCACTGTCCTGAGCAGACTCCTTTGCGAGGTGTCACTGGGGGGCCCACGCAAACACTCAGAGCTCTTCATGACTTGTCCACAGCAGGACCAGTGGGGGCAGCCAGGATGACCTTTGTGTCCATGGCCACAGCCTTGGTATCCACCTGCAAGAGAAGAGGCACCATCAGCTCCACCAGAAACTTGCCAGAGAATCATGGTGTGTCAGGGGCTTTCAGAGAGTGCTTTGGCCCCAGACTTGGCTGAGACAGGGAGCAAGTGCTGATCAGAGCACAGGATATTCAAGGCCAACGCTACCAGGGCTCCTTAAAGAAAGGAGCACAAGCTGGGAGGGGCTCCCTCTTGCAATTGCTTGGGGAAGGTGAAGATTTGTCTCCTCGCCTGGTGTGTAAAGCAAGACGTAGGCCCGCAGAACCCCCTGCCAGCCACTGGTGGCTATGGCTGCGCCCTTGACAGAGTCAGAAACAGATCAGGCACAGAAAAGGGAAGAAACTGGCTCTGTACTTACAACATGCAAAACTCACGATGACACATGCAGCTCAAGGACAAGGAAGCTGGTTGAGATTAAACAAATAAGGGAGCTGAATTCTCATCCTAAACGAGGAACAAGATTTCTCCAGAGAATGGCACTGGGCACTGTGTGACACAGCCAACATGCTCCCCAATGTACCAGCTCTGGAACAGGATCAGCATAGCCACAGCACTACTTAGCCTCACTGAGGAGGGATGAAAGTAGGCTCCGTTGACAGTCCTGCTCTGCCCCCATCTGCTACAGAGTTGATTTAGGTCTCTGCATGTGCAGCAGGTTACAGAGACCCTCAGTGTGTCCGCTGCATCTCTCACTGCTGTGGTCCTCTCCTACCAGAAGATACGTACAGGTAGGTTGTCACAGGTCTTGCGCGTGTGCAAGGAAGGAGTTGTGCCTGGAGTAATTACTCACACCTACCTACACAAGGTGGGACCGGATGCAACAAACCCTCCTGATCCCAGCAGTGCAGGGAGAGCTGAGCACTCACCTGGCATGGTCCCACCACAGGCACAGCGAGCAGCTTTCTGGCCTCCACTAGAGCAGAATGTGCAGCAGTGAAACACACCTTGGTGCTTGCAGAACTTGTTTTTCACAGTCAGAGTGAACGGAGAGCCCTGCAGAGGACAAGCAAGCAGAGAGGTTACTGCAGTGAACGCTATCAAATGTTGCGTCTACATTTTTTAAAACCAACTGGGTGATCCTGTCAGTCACAGGTTAGTAAGCCCAGCCTTAAACTGCCAAGTAGCAAAGGCAATCCTTAGAACGATTTAAAGCAAATACGTAGAAAAGAAAAGCAGGTAAAGAAAAACCAGCACAAAACAAACAAGAAATGCTACCTGTACATGCTGCCCTTTCACACAGACGCAGACAGCATACAAGCCTGGCTCCTCAGGGCTATAGGAAATATGGTAGGTCCCATCACCATTATCACACACTGTTGGCTTGACTGTACTATGAACACACAGAGAGAACACCAAGAGGTCAGTGACTGACAGAAAATTGCTCTAAGTGTGAACAACTGTTTGGCCTAGATTTGCGGCTGGCTCCTTATCCCCAGCCTTGCTCCGCAGCTGCAGGTCTCAAGTGAGCTTAACAGGATGCATGAGCAACACTCAAGCACAGCATAGCTTTCACACATACCTGCACTGGGAGCTGCAATAACCATATAAAGGAAGTCACACAAAGCTAGCTGCACTGCAAGGATTTGCAGCAACCCAGACCGCTGAGAGAGAAAGAGTAGCAAATGATAGCATACTCACAGGTCAGATTATCCTATCAGATAAGAGCCCTTAGAAACAGCTCACAGCTTCAGAAAGCTGTTACCTCCAGAAGAGCCCATGAGGAAGACCGGGCACAAACAGGGCAGGTCTGAATCACTTTAACCACTGGCCCAACTACAGTGACCTCAACTCTTTC